ACCTTTTAGGAACTATGCAAAATGTGCTAAGACCCCCAGAGGTAACTGCATTACTCTAGGTAATTTGACAAAATGAAAGCCAGTGTATATCGTTATTAGTGTGTAAGATGTGCTTTCTCCGATGAGATGTTCCCAGTTGTGTTAACAGGAATTGATTTTAATTGACGTCTGTATTTGCTGTTGCCTTCTTGCAGGAGTAGATCGTACACATATGACAGTTATGATAGCAGAAGTCGTAGCCGAAGCCCACGTCGCCACAGATCGCGCAGCTATGACCGGCGATCCAGGTGATTGTAACATTCTCCCACAATAGTTTTCCAGCTAGACACCCAGATGAGCCATATTTTCTGCTACAGCCCCCTAATGCCCTTCATCTTTACAGATTCACAGATAATGATTTCCTGACTCAAGTAACTGCTATTTACTAACTATCAGTCTGAGGAATTAACTAAAAAGGGGTGGAAATAGCTGACCATTTTGGAGTTGGAAAGGAGCCTTTTCACATTAACGCTTTTTTTTTTTTTTTTTTAAATCAACAGATATGTGAAAAGGTTAAATTTAATTTCGATAATATCCCTTGGTTTTCATGCTGTGTTTGAATTTATATTCCGCACTGTTACTATTGTTCTCTCCTGCATGGAGAGTTAATAGTCTCCATTATTGTGCTGCTGGGTATTAAAATCAGAACCTGTGCTTTCTCCCTATTCCTCCAGCAGAAGTCGAAGGTCCTACACATCGTATAGTGGCAGTGACCGCAGTTATAGTCGTCACCGGCACCGAAGAAGTTAACATGACTGCCGTTTCCTTTTTTTGTAAATTTTATTTTATAAATTTGTTTTGTGTAATGTCTGAAAGCTAAAAACACGTAACATGTGTGATAAAAGCACACCACACACCAAAGTCCTTTACATTGTGGTTCTTTCTCTCTCTAAACATGTTGAGATTTAAAGTCTAAATTCTTTTCAGTTGTGTGGACAAGCATTGTACAGTTTATTTAATATTTTATTTGGAAGAGGCTAACCCTGAAGTTCTATTTCTCCTTAAAGGGACACTAGTCACCAAAACAACTTTAGCTTAATGAAGCAGTTTTGGTGTATAGATCATGTCCCTGTAGTCTCACTGCTCAATTCTCTGCCATTTAGGAGTTAAATCACTTTGTTTATGAACCCTAGTCCCACCTCCCTGCATGTGGCTTGCATAGCCTTCCTAAACACTTCCTGTAAAAAGTCATCTAAAGTTTATCCTTCCTTTATTATTAATTCTGTTAAATTTAGATTATCCCCTGTAATGTTAATAGCTTGCTAGACCCTGCAAGAGACTCCTGTATGTGATTAAAGTTTAATTTACAGAGAGATACAATTGTTTAAGGTAAATTTCATCTGATTGAAAGTGAAACCAGTTGTTTTTTTTTCATGCAGGCTGTGTCAATCAGAGTCAGGGAGGTGTGACAAGGGCTGCATAAACAGAAACAAAGTGATTTAACTCAGTGAATTGAGCAGTGAAACCTGAGAGGCATGATCTATACACTAAAACTGCTTCATTAAGCTAAAGTTGTTTAGGTGACTATAGTGTTCCTTTAAATCCTTACATGAGACACTTTCTTACAGATACAAAGTGGTCAAAATATTTCCACAAACTCTGTGCTTATTTTCTGGGAGTAACTAATTTCATAAACTGTGAGCAATTGGAATTAAAAAAAAAAAACAAACACAGTAAATTTATACTAAATATGTTACAGAATTCTTAGAATGCAAACTGGATTTTGTCACATTAAGTTACTTGGTTATTCCACAGCACCTAATTCTAGAAAATCCTGTGTCCTGGTTAATAACCTGCAACTGTCCGCTCCTAATGAGGTTTGTTTCTGAAGTCCTGTAGGGTCTGGGTGTCTAAAGCTACCCCTACGCTCCTATGTTATTATCAGCCATCTTTAAGTCCTGTTTAGCCAGAAACCATGCAAGTAGTCCAGAGCAATTGTGCATTCACAATCCTGGCATCATGCGCATGCGCAAAAATCCACTCTGGGACTGTCAGCCATTCAAATGACCTGAGAGGATGCCTGTGGCTTCCAACCAAAGTGCCCACACAAAGCAAGGGTATTCCAGGAGATGCTTTGACAAGTTGATATAATCAATTTACTCAGAATATGTTACATATATTCCTTTATTTTCAGTAATAATAAATTACAGTTTTCCTATAAACTTGTGTCAAGAAATGTCTGACTTATGGTGCAAGATCAGTGTTTTCATATGAATTCTACAACTTCAGCAAAAATTGATCACCATGTTTTAAAGCATGACCAAAAAGTGTAAAGTATACGACAGAGAATTCATGATTAACAAAGAGGAATTAATTTCCTTATGTGCCATTTTATCGTTTATTTGCATTAATGAAAAAGAATGGTTTAATAAGACTCATACAGTTGTATATATGTCAAGCTTGTAATAAAATGTTTTCTTTAGGAACAATGTCTTATTAATCTTGAAATAAATCATTACAAATAATCGCAAATAGCCTTAAACAGGGACAATATCTCATACAGACCTCATTAACCAAGTAGCATATACTGCTGCCAGGTTTAAACTCAAACCTCTTATTTTTGATCTATCCTTTCCTTCTAAGTAACACGTTTAAGGAGATGACATTTTCTGGGCAGCAAGAGGTACTTAAAATTCCAGTTTACAGTTAGTTATTTTTACATTTACAAGAAAAGTCTAAAATGAAAACAAAAAAACTCAACTGGACTAACATTGTTATTTTAGAATTAAGACCTCAGAGTAATTACATTAGTACAAATTCATAAAAGTATTGAAAATGCAATGCAGTAAATGTTTTGTAAATTGGCGCAGTCACCATGGAAACCAGTGGAATGTGCCTTTTTTTTATTAAAACCGCTATGGCCTGGGCAATAATAAGATAATTCTTTGAAAAGCAAATAGCCTCAGATTTCCTCCTAATTTGAGTTAAATACAATGGAATGTTACCGCGTTGATTGATAAGACTTGTTCGGTTGTACTTTTTTGTAAGCTTGTAATATTGTTTTGCTCCAGGAAAACCATTCTTTGAAACTAAAAATAAAGATGGTGTTTTGTATATATGTATCTCCTTCTTTATATTTCTTTTACGGTTTCAAAATACTGTATTTTGAGAGGTATTAAAAATAAAAGTGAATCTATTAAAATCAGAGCAAGTGTTAATTTTTTTTTTCTCCAAACACAATGTCAACTGGAGTATGTTGTCATGGAGACGACCCTTAAATAAACTTTTAATGTATCTGTAAGCACACGAACGCTATTATTTACTATAGTGAAAAATGGAGAGTGGACTGGAACGACTAGGCAGCTCCCTTGATTTTGCAGGAGGCCGTCTATAATGCATTCCCAGAGGGAGCTCGCCATAATATAATAGGTTACTGTATTCAAGTCAATATGGACTGCTCCACAAAGGTTAAAATAACATAAAATGTCTAGAAATGCAACAAAAAAAGAAAATAAAGGACCTTGTAATTCACACCAAATGGTGTCTTTGAACATACTGCAAATGAGCTTATAACTTCGGAGTAGTGTCCGTAATCAGTCTCTCCGGTATCCAGTCACATTTATATATAATATAATAGGGAGAGAGGAAGTAGAAAATGACCCAATAGTGCAACTTTGTATCATATGATGTAGTTATAATAATATTACACTCACATTCTTATGAGCTATGACCAGCTCTAGCATAAAACGCCTGTAGTGGTACAATCCCCACTTTGGGATATAATGTGAGTGTCCTCAGTCCTAGGAGCTTCAAATGACGAGTAAAAGGTGTGGAAGCGACAATAGTGCTCTCTGTAAATAAAACCAATGTATCAAGAAATATAATAAAATATATACTCACAAAGTATAGAGCAGGCCAACTGCTCTATGGAATCAGCTTTTGTGGTATGACCCCCACCTCGGATTTCTTTGGAGTAATGGTAAAAAGCCAGGTATGATAAAAAAATATATAAAATTAAATAGTAAAAGGAATTTGGCACAAACCTTGGTGTATTGTCCAAAATAATTCCTTTATTTAAAATACAAAAGTAAATAAAACCTCCAATAACTTGTTTCGCTTAAGGCTTCATCAAATGGAGTAAGATAAACATCCTGACTGATTAAGTTTATACAGGTGCTCTAATGATTGAAAATGGCGCTAAAATTACGTTATACACCGGCAGCCAATCAGGGAGCAGCATAGAAACGTTATCCAAACCAATATTATTTGGAAATCACATAATGGGAATATGAAGTGTACAGAGATAAGTTTAAAACGAGTAGTGTGTGAGTTAATTGCAAACACATTGTGTTTTACAGCCGCAGTGTAGTATGGGGGCTGTAGTACCGAACTGGAGATGTGAGTGCGCGAGTCACGGCTTCTGTGGCATTCGGCTAATTCCGACATTTTGACAGTTTGTTCAGCTAAAACCATCGTTCGTGTATTTTATATGTTTGAAACAGCGTACGGAGGATTGAGTTCGTATTCGTACGATCTACAATATGTTCGTCTGAAATAGTCATTCGAATAGATAGTGACTGAAATGAAAGGACAGTTAGGATCATCACAAGCTACACTGGTACATAGAGAATATATATACCAGTAAGCTTAATAGATTGTATGGCAATGAGGGGACAGACAATAAAATTAATCTTTACTGCAGTATTACAGGAAAGAACATTTGCAATTGAGACAATATAGGCTTGAAAGACTTTTTTTTGCCATATTTTACTTTTTACCCAAAATATCATGGTAATCCTCCGGAGTCTCGCCCGCCAACCCGAAGCCAGATTCAACTTCTGCGGCCTACTCACCTGGTGGATCCCACAGGGGGAAGGAAACGGCCGTTCTTCCACCCTGGAGCCGCCGGGCTATTACAACCGACCACCCACCTCCCCCCTGGACCCCCAACTGAGGGAAAGGCAGACGAGAGCACCCCAGCAGTATGTGTCGCCACAACTCGGCCCTGGGCCGCAACCAATATGGCCGACGCAACGGGGAAACACCCTGAAATGACTTTGGAAACCAAATTCAATGTCAACTTTGACAGGGTATGTGCAGCGTTCTGGTGCCTGATTGCAGCCTGTGCAGAGCAGACGCAGCAGCCTACAACTCCTGCCCCACAGCTCCAGACAGAAGCCCTTCCAACATACAGCTCTACCGCCCCAACACATGCCATACACATGGATGACACTAATGTCTCCGCCGCTTGGTGGTCTTCTGGGCTGGGTACTCACCTGGAGATAACTCGCCTTCGCCAGCCATACAACCATGGAGACAACTGGGAACCTGGAGAAACCCTGGGCCCACAATCTCCAAAATGGGTCTATGGTAAAAAGGCGCGAGTTCCTTTTAAGGCCAAAGACGCGTGGCACACAGGCTACGCAAGTCCACGAAAAGCTGGAAGCAACTAGCAACAAGGACAGCCAAACGACCCCCTGATAAGGAAGGACAATCTAGAGGAGCACAGTGGAATCTCACTCACGTAAGTGGTAGACGAGGTCCCTCTCCACGACCCGATAGGCTGGCTTCCCAAAACCACCGCACTATTCCTCCATGCGGAGTGGGCTAAGAACACTTGATAACGCTCCCGCCTAGAACCACACAGTAGCATGCACTGTAACCAGCAGCCTGGTCGACTCCTGTGGTCTCTATAATAATGTTTGCCTAACATGTCATTTAATGTTTCTTAACTACCAGCCCCAAGAGTGTCTTACCTATCGTACCTGCACCATAGCCCTTGGGAATTATACACGTTTTTATCACATACGCTTCCTGCTCAGAATGTTATTTGTCTGCGGAAAAAGTAACCTGGCGTTTATTACAATCCAGCTCCAAGAGATGCATGAGAATACTCCCCCTCCTTTAATATTACGTTATGTGCATTTTAGTTATGTGCTAGCTCTCACTATAGACACTAGAAAGCCTTTGTAATTTTTGTGGTAAACTAATGGTTAAGCTGCCTAATTTCATACCCAGTCATGACTATTGTGCCTAATAGACGAATCCACTATGTGCACTTAGAAAGCGGCATAGTCTTGTTTCATCTTCTTACATTCATCCTGCCATTAGCCTGCATCGATGCCTTGCTCAGCCTGTGTATTTGACATGCGGTCAATATAATCTACACTTGCCTAAGCCAAAATACATCCAAACAGGACACTCATTCTCACCTTGCGCATAGCCTGAACTAACTACATAACTCTCTAGAACCACATTCCTCCCTCACAAACATTAAAACCACTAAATTCACTCTGGAAACACATCAGTTCAGTTAAACTTGTAACTCTTATATATGTTGATATATGCTGTTGTGGCGTTTGTGAATATTTTGTACCTACCTGCACAACAACAACAAAAAAATAATTTAAAAAAATATAGTAATCAAATAAACCTAGTTTAGTGACATATAATAATAAATAGAAATAATTATTTAAAAAAACAGGTTGCTGTATTCACATGGAAACTTTAATAAAAAAAGGAGCATGTACGCTTGAGTGCGCCAGTTAGCAGAGGTCATTGCTGGGTATTAATGGGAAGTTTGGTATATGCAGGCCCAGAGGTCTGGTTAACATAGCAGCATGCCCACTCAATGTGCCTATTCCTCAGCACCAGTGTTAAAAAATGGGCACTATACCCCCAGCCTGACATTTAATCCTTGGAAAGGAATTCCAAATGGCAAACTTTGGACAAATTAGCAGGCTGTGATTGTAGCCAAATGGTGAAGAACTTTTCCAGATTAGATCTATTTATCATTTGGGTTTAGTGAATACACCTCACAATGAAATAACATGCTTGAATTGGGTTTATAAGTTCGGCAAAGAGTTAATATCTGAGAGGTGCTCTACTGGTGAATAAAGGAGCACTATAGGGTCAGGAACACAAACATGTATTCCTGACCATAAAGGGTTAAAACCACCATCTAGCCCTCCTGGCCCCCTCATGCCTCCCCAAAAATAGTAAAACTTATTTGTATTCAAGTCTGCAGCTGCATATTTTGTCCCGGTTTCATTTAGACCTGCCCACTGCCTGCTGACATCATCAGAAATGGTGGCCTGATCCAATCACAATTCTTCCCCATAGGATTGGCTGACACTGACAAAGAGGCAGATCAGGGTCAGAGCCAGCACAATTCAAACACAGCCCTGGCCAATCAGCATCTCCTCATAGAGAGGAATTGAATCAATGAATCTCTATGAGGAAAGTTCAATGTCTGCATGCAGAGGGAGGAGACACTGAATGTTTGGATGCATTTTAGGCAGCCATGACCCAGGAAGGATCTCTAACAGCCATCTGAGGAGTGGCCAGTGAAGTTATCACTAGGCTGTAATGTAAACACTGCATTTTCTCTGAAAAGACAATGTTTACAGCAAAAAGCCTGAAGGTAATGATTCTACTCACCAGAACAAATTCAATAAGCTGGAGTTGTTCTGGTGACTATAGTGTCCCTTTAAGGATTTGACTCCACTGTACAGTGAGGATCTAGATTGCAGGTTACAGCATCCTGTAGTGTAGATAGAGCTATAGAATAATGAATATTTACTCATGCTCCCCCTAATGGACCAATTTAAAACCGCAGAAGATACTGCATTGTGAGATGCTCGCTCTGCATGGCACTATACAAATATTTACTGCTGCTTCTGCTCAGTATTTTTTTTATTGACTCCTTCCAGGGGTGGGCTGACAAGGAGAACAGGGGATAAACTCATATGTGAAGACAGGCTGAAGGAATGTAGTTATATCACACCTTGTTAATAGAATGACGGTATCACTCTTCTAGTCTTGGACCCTATGTGACATTAATAGAAAGAGAGGAAATCTGGAATCAAAAACAATGAGGGTTTAAAAGGCAATGATTCAATGCATAATAATTAGCCACCACAATAAGCTGTAGTAGTTATGGTGTTCAAGGTGACATGAAAGCATTTCTTAAAAGGAAACTGTACCTGCTACATCTCATTATTATTATTATTATTATTATTAAAAAGGGGGTGAATTTAACAATAAATGTAACAATTACAAAATGTTACAGGAACAATAGGTTAAAGAGGACCCTTTCTAACCAGCTTACAATCTAGAGGAGAAGGGGTTATAAAAACACAATAGGGCATTGTGACGGAACGCTGGCACTCCGACTGAGTACCTCCGCCAATCGATGCGCCTCGTGCTCGCTGAGGACTCCAAGCACTCCAACCGTCACCATCAGCACTGCAGACCCCACTTCCAGCAATACAGCTGCGCCGGGGTCTCGCCGTCTCCACCCACCCTGGATCCACGACCAGGATCCAGCTCCCAGTGGGTGAACCTCTCCTAAATCCAGAGAGCGTAGCAGGAACAAATCAAGCTATTGCGAGAGCTTACTCTGGGGAGTAAGTGATTATGGCAATCCCCAGAGTGTAGGTATCCCTTCCCCCAAACATGAGCCAAGGCTTCAAGAAAGGTACAAGATGATCTGGTTTTAATGACCACACACTGGCTTTTATGCAAGTCCCCATGCAAGGGGACATCCCACAGGGTGGGACCTAGTATATCCTGGAGATAATTGGGAAGTAATCAAATTATCTCCCAAGACAGAGGCAAGACTCCATTAACCACATGGTTACAAAAATACATAAAATTACACAATGTTACAATTACTACATAAAACATATACATGCAAAATATCCCCAGATAGCTTAGATCTGAGTGCACATTATTATTGAATGGCGCTCAGATCACATACATACAATTCAATCGCCGTGGAGCCAAAGTCTTTTCCATAGTCTTTTGTTACACAAATAGGCTCCATGGCATAGCTATCTGGGATAGCACTACTACCATACTGAAAGTCCAGAACGCCCCAGCAGAAATACACAAATAAACCTTTCTGCAGGGGAAAATACAGTTATCAGCACATGGGCCATAGTCGGAAGGCAGGAGGCTAGCCAGTAGTCCCCTCCAGGCACAAGTGGCGAAGGGCACTTCGTCACAGGCATCAAGGGGACATCAAACAAGATGGGAAGGTAGCAGAACTGGAGCACATTAGAAAGATTTGTAATAATATTAGAATTTAGAATAGCACATTAGAAAGATTTGTAAAATACATTTATTCATTATAATTCATATTTTATTTATTATTTTGAAAAAGGTCAGTTTTAAGGGAGACTCCAGACCCCTAAAGCACTTTAGCTTGCTGAAAAGCTTCAAGTGTGAAGAGTGTGTCTTACTTTTTCATTTTGGAAACTTGGGAACTGTACACTTTTATAAATTATACTGGTTATAATCCCCTGGCTTTCAAGCAGAGAACAGGTAATATTACTTCCTGGTTCCGTTAGCTTATTTGCACTGAACTCAAGAGGCAGCAATTGCCCAGAGCAACTGCGTTACAAAGACTTGTCATTGAGCTGGATTGGGAAGTCTGTGATTGGACAGCCACAGAAAGTCTGGATGGGGTTAGAAGGGGAGGGTTTGCAAGGCTGCAGACAAGAGATCTGCAGGTTTTGCAAGCTATTTTAGATATAACGCCAATGAAAAAATGCATTATTCAATGCATGCATGTGTTCATTTGGGGTATATCTACTAAACAGTGATTTGTATGTATTTGGGCAGTGGAGTGTCCATTTAATGATTGAAGACTAGAGGAGAGTCTGATGAGAGTACGCAAGAAGTTCTGCAAACACAAATTAGCAATAAGGGTGCGAGCAGCAGACTGGAGAAGGTCACCAGCAGAGCGGAGAGAACGAGAAGGGGTAAACCTACAAATCTATGAAGGAATATAACGGGATAGAGTTGTTTAGCGTTTTGTAGCTAAGGTATTAAGTGGTTATAGTGTCTGGAGTCCTCTGGTGCTGTCCTTCCATTCGTTATTGTTTTTTGCCACCTTTATTTTCACATTTCTTAAAATCATGGAAGAAAAATAAACAGAGAGAATAAAGAGATATATGCTAAATGTATAATCTTGATCAGTTTTATAAGACAGTGCCTGCTATTGAAGTTTATTTTATTATTTATATAGCGCCAGCATATTCCGTAGCGCTGTACAATGGGTGGACTAACAAACACATAATTGTAACCAGAAACGTTTGACGCACAGGAACATAGGGATTGAGGGCCCTGTTCAATGAGTTTACATGCTAGAGAGAGTGGGGTATAGTGACACAGTAACAGAGGGATTGAGGGCCCTGCTCAGTGAGTTTACATGTTAGAGGGAGTGGGGTATAGTGACACAGTAACAGAGGGATTGAGGGCCTGCTCAGTGAGTTTACATGTTAGAGGGAGTGGGGTATAGTGACACAGTAACAGAGGGATTGAGGGCCTGCTCAGTGAGTTTACATGTTAGAGGGAGTGGGGTATAGTGACACAGTAACAGAGGGATTGAGGGCCCTGTTCAATGAGTTTACATGCTAGAGAGAGTGGGGTATAGTGACACAGTAAC